CCTGGCGCAGTGTGGGGGAAATGTGCACATGGTCAAGTACATGTGTTGGTGGTGATATGAAATTTTGGCGAAATTTTGGTAAATTATTGTTGGTTTCTGTACACTTCTACCCGAATTGGTATATAGACTCCTTAGGACCGAGAAGTTTAACATAACGAGAAGACTTACATGAAGTTCCCATAACTTCATTTTCCTCATCGACCGTAGTACGGTCGATGAGGAAACTTCTGAGTTCAGCTGAGGAGAGCGAACATATATTCCAACAATGGCCTGGCGTATCGTCGCTCTAGTCACAGCACAGAACTGGATCGGTAGATATGAATCGGCCTTCCCACTTGTCACAGACATGTGCATGGGGTTGCTCAGACTGCTTCGGTGTTTATAGTGTTGAGTGATAGGCTGTGTCTGTTGATCTTACCCTATGTCGAGCCACCACGACTCGCGCTCCTTTGCTGAGCTCTTGAACACCTCCGTATCGGGTGAGCCTTTCTTGGTTGCTCAATGTGGAGGCACCAACTTCTGGCAGAGCACCTCTCAGCAGACGATAGCTATAGCCCGGCATCATCGCGACGCTCGGGTCAGCGGACGACGGCAGGGGCGACACCAGAGTCGAATCGGGCTCTTCTAGAAGATTTCCCAGAGTGTCCTCCCACTGAGGATATCAGCAGGCTCAGTGCAGGTCTCCGATGCGCCGTGCGTTGGATCTAAATGGTCTCGATGTGTCAGTTTTGAGCCAGCACAGTATGCATTGTCGGACTCACGTGGTTAGAAGGATGTCGCGTGAGCAACAACGGTTGGATGGTATTGGGCCGAGCGTATTCAGGCACTAATCGCGGTGGGGATCTTTCAAGTCTGACGCAGGCCACCAACGACTTGATTGATGATTGCCACCCGAGGGACAGTACTTGTGCCGGATGGGCCATATCTTAGTACATCATCATCAGGCAAAGCATCGAACGGGCCTCATCAGACGGCCCCACTGCAGTTAATAATGTATGCTATAAAACTGTTCAGAAGAGGAGTGATCTCGAAGGACCAGGTGGGCGGCTGAGGCAGATCGTATAGGGGCAAATTGTGACACTGTGGTGACAGGCTACGCTCGTCCAGGATTTCTGTCTGGATCCTACGGTCAATCGTGAACAGTGTGACACTATGAGAGCCACGATAGAGATGTCCGTGGACGAGGACGTGACGCGTTGTTGTTTTTTGGTGAGTTTGAGGTTGGTGTGGTAGGACCGTCAGTTGGCCATGGAAATGTGGGTGACAAACTTGGAGAAAGCAGAGGCACGTAGAATGTTAAGGACGAAGGAGTTCAGTGACCATAGGCCGCATCTACCAGAACTCAGCACGGTGAATCTGACTAGTGTTCCGGGCTCATCAGGGTAAGTTGCCACGCTGGTTGGAGTTTTCACGATGAGGTGCAGGCAGAGCACTCGTGCGCCATCACCGTATTGTCCGAGTCCGGCGGCTAGCAGTCCGGCAAATTCGGCGATCTACAATCACATGGCCGCCGGCGCACTGCAGCAGCAAACGCTGAACTGGCAGCAGCAGCAGCAACAACAACAGCAAAATGGGTGAGGGAGACTCTCGTGAGGGGATCAACTGCCGAACTTGATCAGTGTGTTCCATCACGTTGGAGGTCAGCATTTCGGCAACTACTTTGCTACCGGCATGCCGGGCTCATACCGGGTAGGAGCATTCGATGATCTCGGCCGCAGTTGTTATTCCAACAGCCAATGCACTGTGCGTCTCCCGCACCAGCCAGCCCACAGGCCCTCTTCAGTGGCTCCCAGAGTGCCCTACAGCAAGTAGAGAGTAGGAAGTCGCTCAGTCGGT